ACCTTGTATCCTGCAACCTTGCTATGATTGCTTTTTAGTTCCAGGGGTTATTATTGTTGATTTTTTGGCTTCCTACATAGACAGTCATGTCATCTGCAAACAAAGATTTTTATTTCTTCCTTCCCAATCTGTATGCCTTTTTAGTTCCTTGTCTTCTTGCATTAGCTAGGACTTCAAATGCAATGTCCCCAACAATGAGAGGGGACATCCTTGCTTTGTTCCTGGTCTTAGCAGGAAAGCTTTTGGTTTCTTATTATTAAGTATGATGTTAGCTGTAGGGTTTTTTGGTAGATGTTCTATGTCAAGCTGAGGAAGCTCCCCTCTATTCCTAGTTTGCTGAAAATTATCATAAATAGGTGTTAGATTTTGCCAAATGCTTTTTCTGTATCTACTGATATGATCACATGATTTTTCCTCTTTAGCCTGTTGATGGGATGATTACATTAATTGATTTTTGAATGTTGAACCAGACTTGCATACCTGGGTTAAATTCCACTTGGTTGTGGTGTGTAATTCTTTTTATATGTTATTGGATTTGATTTGCTAATATTTTTTTAAAGATTATTTATTTATTTGAGAGAGAGAGCACGAGATGGGGGAGGGTCAGAGGGAGAAGCAGACTCCCCGCTGAGCGGGAAGCCCGATGCGGGACTCGATCCTGGGACTCCAGGATCATGACCTGAGCCGAAGGCAGTCGTTTAACCAACTGAGCCACCCAGGCGCCCCTGATTTGCTAATATTTTGTTGAGGATTTTACATCTATGTTTATGAGAGATACTGGTCTGTAATTTTCTTATAATGTCTCTGGTTTTGGTATTAGGGTAATGCTAGCCTCACAGAATGAGTTAGGATATATTCCCTCTGCTTCTATTTTTGGGAAGAGATTATAAAGAATTGGAATAATTTTTTCCTTAAATGCTTGGTAGAATTCACTTGTGAACATATCAGGGCTCTAAAATATATTTTAATAGCTTAAAAAACTAAACTTTGCATTTTGAGATAACTGTAGATTCACAGGTATTTGTAATAAATGATACAGAGAGGTGCTGTATACCCTTTATCCAGTTTTCCCTAATGGTAACATATTGCAAAACTTTAGAACACTATCACAACCAGGATGCTGACATTGATATGGTCAAGATGCAGAACATTTCTATTACTTCAAGGAACCCCAAGTCATCCTTTAGAGCCACACCCATTGTCATCCTTTCCCCACCCCTTTCTAGCCCTTAGGAGCCACTGACCTATTCTCCATTTCTATACTTTTGTCCTTTCAGGAATGCCATATAAATGGGAGCATACAGTATGTAACTTTCTAGGATTTTGTTCACTCAGAATTCTCTGGAGATTCATCTGGTTTGGTGCATGTCTCACTAGTCTGTTACTTTCTCTTGCCGAGTTGTAGGTGCGTGGTGTGGTTGGATGGCAGTTTAACCATTCACCCATTGAAGGACATCTGGGCTGTTTCCAGTTTTTTGCTATTATGAATAAAGCTTCTGTGAACATTTGTGTGCAGGCTGTTGTGTGAAGGTGAGTTTTCATTCATCTCAGTTAAATGCGCGGGAGTGTAATTGCTGGGTTGAATGGTAGCTACATGTTTCATTTTTATTTTTTTATTTATCTTTATTTATTTTTATTTTTTTAAGATTTTATTTATTTATTTGAGAGAGAGAATGAGATAGAGAGAGAGCATGAGAGGGGAGAGGGTCAGAGGGAGAAGCAGACTCCCCGCGGAGCAGGGAGCCCGATGTGGGACTCGATCCAGGGACTCCAGGATCATGACCTGAGCCGAAGGCAGTCGTTTAACCAACTGAGCCACCCAGGTGCCCTACATGTTTCATTTTTAAAGAAACTGCCAAACTGTTTTCCAGAGTGGCTGTACCATTTCACATTCACACCAGCAGTGGATGGGTGATCCACTTTCTCTGCATTCTTGTTAGCATTTGGTGGTATCACTATTTCTTAATTTTAGCTATTCTGATAGGTGTTTAGTGGAATCTCATTGTGGTTTTAATTTTTATCCCCCTAATGACTAACGATGTTGAACATTGTTTTGTGCGCTTATTTTCCATCTGTACATCATCTTCAGTGAAATGTCTGTTCCTATATTTTGCCCATTTTTTAAATCGGATTATTTGTTTTCAAAAACTGTTGAAGTTTTGTTTTTTTTTTTAAGATTTTACTTATGGGGCGCCTGGGGGGTTCAGTCGTTAAGCGTCTGCCTTCGGCTCAGGTCATGGTCCCAGGGTCCTGGGATCGAGCCCCGCATCGGGCTCCCTGCTCCGTGGGAGGCCTGCTTCTCCCTCTCCCACTCCCCCTGCTTGTGTTCCCTCTCTCGCTGTGTCTCTCTCTGTCACATAAATAAATAAAATCTTTTAAAAAATTTTTTATCTTATTTATTTGAGAGAGAGACGGATAGTGATAGTGACTGTTGAATTTTGAGAGTCCTTTATATGCTTCAGAGAAACATATCCTTGGTGGGATATCCCTTGATGGGACATGTGATTTGCAAATATTTTCTCCCAGTGCTTAGCTTGTCTTTTCTTCCTCTTCCTCTTCCTTGGTAAGAACTGCATTAATCCGTATACAGAGTTGGAGAGAGTCAGCCTCCTTACTCAGAAAACCCAGAACTCACCACTGTATCATCCTTGGGTCCCGAGGTCTGCCCTCTTCTTGACCTTTCAGAGTCTTATGCTTGCTTTTTATACAAAATGTCCAGGGTTGTACTTAGCAAGAGGATCAGGGAGAATTACATCCACTGTCTTCCTGAAAGCAGAAATCAGCAACCTTTTCTTTAAAAGTTGGATCAGAGGTGGTCAAGCTTTCTGCTTTCTAGAGCCATCTCAGTTTGTTTCATGGATAAAATAGGGTAAAATCCAGAAAAATGGAGCACAGAACCACTTGTTTTGCAGTGAATTAAAAACAAAAGTTCAGGGCACCTGGGTGGCTCAGATGGTTAAGCGTCTGCCTTCGGCTCAGGTCATGATCCCAGGGTCCTGGGATCGAGTCCTGCATTGGGCTCCCTGCTCCTTGGGAGCCTGCTTCTCCCTCTGCCTCTCTCTCTCTCTCTCTCTGTCTCTCATGAATAAATAAATAAAATCTTTAAAAAAAAAAAAGTTCATAGGCTGCACGTTAGAGTAATCAGCTTCGATCCTTCGCGTCTTTCTGAGACTGCCCCTGCACTAGGACTTCCTTAGCCCCCCACAACTCTCCCCTTCCTCCTCCAGGGGCCTCAAGAGCAAGACTCTGTCCCCCTTAGATTCTGGGCAGACACGGTGCGGGGGGGGGGACTCCCCGTCCTCGGCCCGAGATTGTAGAAGGAAGGTTTTGATGTCTGTCAGCTTTTGTGCCCACGCATTCATGGCATGGAGACAGCTGCCTCCTCAAGGAGGGAAATAACCTCGACATTCTCCTTCCTCTAAGCCTCAGCTGGTCATCTGGGTGTTTGTCAGGATTGTCTGTAAGTTCTTCACTTCCCCTTGTGGCTGGCCAACTTTCTCTCTTGAAAATACTGCCCGTGTCGGCAACTGATTGACCCAGCATGGCTGTAGCCAGTTCCAACCGCCTTCTCCCCGGGGAGTAAGTGTCCTCCCTAGAGGCCCCCTGAGGACCGTCAGTCCATCCAGCAGGATGTTGGGCAACCAGGGCACCACGACCTGTCTCAGTCCCTCATGTCCCTTCTCTGGGGAAGAGCCGAGGTGTGGTCCCTGACCAGCTGCCGCAGTGGGCCCTTGTTGGGAGCACAAGTCCTGGGCACCCAGCTCTCCCGAACCGGACACCCTGAAGAGGGGCTGGGGAGCCGTGTTCTGACGAAGCCCGCCCAAGTCGGAGAGAATTAAAGGGGATTCAGTGTGAGGGAGGGAAAAGGAAGCTGGTGAGGGCCTGGGGGTCCGGCGTGGCGCGGCGGGCCGAGGCCGGTGGCTGCGCTCCCGCCCTGAGCTGGGAGACGTAACCTGAGTCTGAGAAGGGCGCGGAAGGGGAGGGAAGAGCCGATGGACTCGTGGAACCAAATGGAAGCTGCAGGAGCCTCGGAGCCCGGCTGCATGGCTTCACGTCTGGGGAATGGCCGGCTTCACACAGAGCGGGGAGGGCCGCCAGGGCTCCGGTCCCTGCCATCGGGGCTTGGATAACTGGCCGGGCAGCACGTCTTTCCGTGGCACTTCTCCCGCTCGGCGGCACCCTGGGGCAGTCACCCGGGGCAGCGTGAAGGACACGGTGGGCCTCCAGACTCTGCGTGCCGCGGTCTGCGGGGCCACCGGGCCGCCCCCCCCCAGGGGTGCTGATGTGGACCAGGGGTCAGAACCACTGCTGGCGGGCCAGCCCCCGGAAGGTGCCCCTCCTCCACCTTGGACCTGCTCCAGCAAAGGCTGAAAAGCCCCGAGTTCCATTCGAGGCAACAGGAGGGCTTGGCCCCTTGGCCGGTTTGCTCTCTGGATCTTCGGGTGTGATCTTGTTTCTGCTCTGCCGAGTCAGCGGTGCCGTCCCCCTGGGCAGCACCCACTTAGCACACCTCTCCTGGCCTACAGGATCGCTGAGATTCTGGGACACTCGGCTCTCTGCCCGGCCACACGGGCTGTACCGCTGCCTTCTGTCAACCCCCACGTGGCCCTGGGCCTGCCCGCCCGCTGGGTCCTTCCCCCTCGCTTCTCACCTTCACAAGCACCTCGTAGCTCCCTTAGCTCCCCCAGCTACTGGGTTGAGAGCTGCTTGAGGGTTTCTGCTTTCATCTCCCTCAAGTACCAGCCCCCTGCACACGGGGCTTCTCTCCATCCCGTTTTGCTTGTGTCGGTAACGGTAACGGACTCCCCGGCGTGGTTGCGTTTGACTCACTGACGACTGAGTTACCGACCGCAGACGGCGTCTCAGACCTGCTCTGCAGGGTGGGACGTGGCTTTAAAACTTTCGTCTGCTGCACATGATTATAATCAATCTTTATCTGTTACCACGGACGGTGGGGGGGGTGGTGGTGACAGACACACAAAAGGAAAGGACAACCTAAAGCCATTGCTATTTTTTATTTTGCTGCTCAAAAGAATGACAAAAGGGGGAAAAAGTCTTAACAACAAAACCCTAACGACACAGCATTAGAGCCGAGGGGACAGGACTAGTCACTCTACGTAAGTTGGCACAAGATTTTCCATCGGGTTCAAGTTTGACCGTAGGCGACACGGCCCCGAGGAGCAAGCCCAAGAGCGTGGTCAGGCTTGCTCCTGGTCCTCTGCGGAGACCGCGGCCGGCAGCTCAGGCATGTATTCCAGGGCCCCGGCCTCTGCAATGAAGAAGCGCACTTAGCGGAGCCCTAACGCCTGCACCAGGGACAGTGACAGCCCAGCACGCAGGTCAGAGCATCGGAGCACGTCTTCGGGGGGGGGGGGTGTCCCAGGATTGGCCCTGAAATCGAGTGCAACACTTTCTATGTCTCACCTCTTGATGATTCAAGCCTCCCACTTACCATGTGTTTGAAACTATCAGAAGTAGAATTCCTGTTTGAGTAATAAAAATTGGTATCTCCGAGGGAAAGAAGTTCCATCTTACAAAATTCAAAACAGAGCAAACTAAAAACCAAGAAGTCCCTGGGAGAGTCGATCTGCTCCTTGCAGGAAAAGTCGCCAGCAAGATTTCCCCCGGCAGAGAGCTCGCTACAGACTCGGCGGGGCTCCAACAGAGCAAACTTGCTTATGGGTTTTGAGATTTCTAAGTCCTCCTCCACAGTCTCCATGCCATGGATGGCTCCAAGGAAGAACCACAGGCCTTTGACCTCATCCCCCCCACACCCTCCTGAACCCTTCAACCAAGGCAGCGGGTCCAGCCAGCAAAGTGCATGGATCAAAACAGACCCCAAGAATTAGTCTCAACTCCACCAAACTCACAACAAAATTGTAAAGTGCAAAACTTGACAAACAGATGTGTCTCCTGGAGAATCCAAGCACCCTCTCCCCCGCAGCGCCCCTCCTCCCCCGGCCCGTCCTGGTCTCCCTGTGCTTGGCTTCCAGGGCACTGCGGCCTCTGTCCAAATGGCCCTCTGTTGCCCGGATGACAAGCAGAGGTGCTGGGCAGAAACAGGCCCACAGGGAGGCCTCACCTTCCGTGGTATCCACGGAAGATACCAGCTCTAGGATGGAGACTGTTGAGATGGGCATGCAGCCTGCTCTGCAGGAAGGCTGCATAAGCAAACACTGGAATCTGAGATATGGGTTAGTTGACCATGCTTACAAGACATGGCATAAGACGGCCTACGAGGAGCTGTAGCCCTGGGACTTGTTACCCTGCTAGGAAGTGTGGCTCCAGCCGAGGGAGTGGAACGGAGGCCCTCTCTCTCCCTGGTTCCCCTGCGGCTCTGATGACCCTTTCCAGGGCCAGTGTTGGGGCCAGCAGCAGCCCCGGCCCCTAGGCAGCTCTCCCACGCAACAGCGGTGACTTGAGGAATGGGAGTGGATGGCTGGTTACTTCCCAGGAGAATTCTACGGAATCCTTTTTGACAGGCTTTTCATGTGGGCAGGGTTCGAAGAGGTGGAATTTAAAATTGGTAATATTTCACGTACCTTTGAGATGCAAGAAAGTCAGAAACTCGATTATCATGCGCAGGGCAGCCTTCTCGGACAGCGGCCTGGCAAAGCCCCCTAGAAAACAGAATCGGCGTCTACCACCTGCCGCGCGGCTCTGGATCTCACAGCTCCATCTGCGGAGGGCTGGGCATCTGGAAGCCAGTGGACTGGCCGTGACCCTTCCCCAGGGCCTTGCTTGGCACAGCGGGGTGTGGGGGAGTGTCCGGTCAAGGCCAAACTCTTCTGAGGCCTTGAGTGACTCTGCCTCCGTGGCCACCCTGGGCCCCGACGCTGGGTCTTGGGCTTGTACTTCTGGCAGATGGCAGAGGGGCCCAGGCCAGGCTCAGGTTGGGGGCGGGGCAGGAGCCTGATACCCCACCGCCACGTGTGCCCAGGAGGAGATGGGCAGTGAAGTGACCCAGTCTCTCACCTGGCCTTGCTTCGTCTTCAGGTGGGAGTTCCCGCTTGCCCGTGAGGCCAGGCTTCTCCTGAAATGATCTGTGGTTGTCAATGGCATCTGTTTGCAAATGAATTGAGAGGAAAGCACCTGATCGGCCTTGTTACTATAGTTAGACCCTCCCCACTCCCAAAGAAGGACACACACACGTTGCTGCTAATCAAAGCACGCACGACCTGACTGTAAAAATCAAGTCACAGTAGGGAACATTCTCTGCGGAACCACGACTCGTGCCAGGGCCAGAGAAGTGGCCAGTCCCACGGGTGCTGGGCCTCGGCCAGAGGAAGGAGCCCCCCCCGCCCCCGCAGTCAGGAGGGGAGCAAAGGGGAGCACAGCGCTCGGCAGAGCTGGCCAGGCCCCGGGGAGTGCGGGCGTCACGGGGGTCGCAGAGGCGCTGGCGTCTGAGCTGGGTGCCTCACAGGGAGACCACAGGAGCTTGGGGTCCTATGTCCCTGAAAACAGGGGGCCTCCAAAGAATGGAAGTTCAGACCTATTTTTCAAAGACCTCTCTGGCAGCTGTGGGAGGCGGACTGGAGCCAGCCAGCCAGAGACAGACGGTGACAGCGGGAGAGAGGGGGAGGGGAAGGGAGGCAGGCGGAGGAGGGGCGGGGGGGGGTTAAGGGGCTGTGTGTGCACCTGCGTGTGCATGTGCACCTGCGTGTGCGTGTGCGTGTGCTCACGCCTGTGTTGGCCACGAGGACGTGGTCAGGGTGGCTCGGGGCTTGTGGCTGCTCGCCTGGGGGGCTGGCATCTGCAAGGCTAGGCAAAAGAGCACCGACTCCTCTCCCCAAGCTGGAGTTCGGGGCCCGGCACTCAGGACAAGAAGGCCCAAGAACCTTGCCCCACGGCTCGAGTGCGGGCACACTCCCGCCGTCCGCGGCAGCTGCTGGACAGTGTCCCGCACTGACGAACACTGGTGCCTGGTAAAGTGCGCTGACAACCTCGTCCAGATGGACAGCCTCTGCAGATCCAGCTTGACGGAGACAGAAATCTCCTTCTTTCTTTTGGGCCAGAAGCACAGAGATGAGATGCCTTCTGGGTGATAGATCTCAGGGTTACAAAGGGCTCGGGAAAACGTGTGCCCTTTGAGCCCATCTGTCCCTCCTGGGGACAGGCGAGACCACTCCACTCCCAGTGACAGACAAGTGTGTGGGGGCCTGCCCTTGCCCTTGACCTGAGACCAGAGCACCCAGAGGCCCTGCCTGTGGCCCCGGCTTGTCTTTGTCATCTCTCTCTGCCTGTGTTTCTCAAAGCACCCTCCAGGTGATCAGATAGACCACCATCTGCAGCAGGAGAAAAGGCTGTACTCAAATGTGGGATTAAGAATAGTCCCTGGGCTGAACAACACTGTTCCCCCCAGATGACGCTGGTGAGAATGGAATATGACCTACATGTTTACCTCCTTTCCTGGTGCAGGAAGCAGTACATAAATAGGGGAGGTTTGGTTTTGTTTTGTTTTAAGGTTGATGGCTGTCCCCAAACCAACCACGCCTGCAAATTTAAAAGCTACGAGTGTGTAAGCGATTGGAGGGGAAAGTAAAAGTTCTCCCCTTGTCCCCTCCTTTAGGATAATTAAAATCTGAAGATGCCAAGGCAGACAGAGGACGAGCAGGAAGCAGAGTACGGGCAAGGAGCGGCGAGGGGGAGGCATCCACGCACAGTCTGCGGGGTCCCAGAGCTGTCCCCTTCAGGGCCTGGGTCACCTGGAGGCGGTGTAACCTGTCTGCACACCGTCTCCCCATTTCCTGCTGCCTCCTGCCCCTACTAAGAATTCCACAGCTGGTCTGCCTGCCACTGCCAGCCCGGGGGATCTCTGGGTCCACTGGGTTCTCTGCATCATGAAAGCACTGAAGTCACACTGTGTCCAGACAGTGTCAAATCAAGGACAGGGCACCGAGTATTAGACCACCCACAGGCTGCAAGGTCTGGGACTTGATGACTACAGGTGAAACCACACACTCCGGTTCTGCTCGCAAGCACACACGCCCCCGGCCCCACCAGGCTACACATTCCAGCTGGTAGATTCATGGCACAGAGTTAAGGCCCAGGGTGGTCTGGAACCCTGATGGACTATTACCAGTCGGCAAAAGTGTCCTCCCATTCCACGCCACCCAGATTTGAACTTCTGAAGCCAAGAAGGTGGTAATGAGGTCGACTGCGGGCCGCAGGCCCCTTCTGGAAACATCCCAGGACTCGGATCAACTGACCCGTGTCCGCATAAGGCCCCTGGTGAGGGCTGTGGGCACCTCCTGCTGCTCCATGGGGTCAGATGCAAGTCCCTGCCCGCAGCCCCGGCCCCAGACTCGGTCATGCCCAGTGAGACCGTCACAGGTTCGTCACCTGACCCCACCAGCCCACGTGCTGCAGGCCCTTCCTACCCTAGGCATTTGGGTCATTCGGTAATAATCTAAGTCCTGCTCTGTGCCGCACAGGTGCCTGAGCAAGGAAGAGCGAGGCGAGGAGGGACAGGTGGGCGTCAGGGGACCCAGGAATTTGCCCATTTGCGGCAAGTGAGGGAGAAAGGGCACGGGAAAGGGCGCCACCTACCCATGTGGCAAGTATTTGAATCCACTGATCCCTAACCTCCATGGAAACCCATCCTGCCTCAAGTGCTCCCCATTGCCCTTGATCTGACCAAACCTGGAATATCAGTGTATCAGAACACGGACTGGCTACACAAATGTCAGAAAGAGCAGGATTCACACAAATGCTCCAATCAGCCTTACAAGAGCGGAGTCTGCTCTGAGGGGCCGACGTGTCACTTACGTGGACCAAGAAGGTAGCCAGCACTGTTCAGGGTCCAGCCTCTCTTTTCCTTCACCTTAAATGGGAGAAAAGGGTCATGCCGGGTACAGGCTCGGGGGGCTCAAAGACGCCTCAAAGGCAGCTTCTGTTTGCACAGCCCACTAAGGTGGTCTGGGAAGCTGCTGCCCACTTCAGATACTCACATAATTTACATCACAAAAGCACTTTATTTTTTTACGCTGTCCCAAAACAGGCCAAGTAATGCAAACCCTTAAAGCAAGATGGACAGGAAAGGAAGCTCGCCAGGCTTTCCAGGCATGACGTGGGCATTTGAATAATGCATACACTTCTGGGGCTGCAAGAAATTCCAGCTTTGCCCCCAAATAAGCTATATTCGACATGAAAACAGGACTGCTTGCTTTTCCAAAGAATTCACTCTAGAGCCACAACCTTCAAACACATGGGGCACCCGCTTGCTGCTAAGCCATGTTGAGGACACACGTCGTTGAGGGCACCTGTGGATAGCAGGGCTCCCGCCCGGGGTGACTCGTCTACGGAGCTAAGTACAGGAGCCTCCAGATTCTCCTGGTTTATAGCCAGAAGTTGGTCGTGCGCTGGCAGAGGCGCCAGGCCAGGAGGATCCCGCAGCGCGCGACCCCCGCCAGGGGCTGCAGGACCCCAGCCTCCCCGCGCCCCCCGCGGCCCGCCCGCCGCGCACCACTGTTTGCGCGCACCCTCCGCCGGTCCGCGTCTGTGCGGCTGCCCCCTTTAGTCGGGCACACGCGCCCCGCACTCACCGGTGACCCGAGCCCCGGGGTGGCCGAAAGGGCCGCGGCGAGGAGCAGCCAGGCGACGAGGAGGACGCAGCCGCCGGGCATCTGCAAGGGAAGGTGCGGAGCGGGCGTGGGGTGGCCGGCGGGTCCCCGGGCGCACGTCGGGCGGAGGCTCGGACGCCGCTGCCGGGGGCTGGGGCGGCGGCAGGGGCCAGGGCGACGCCGACCGAGTGCCGTGCGACGCCTCCCGCGGCCCAGCCCGGGCTGGGAGCGAGGGGCCCCGGGATCGTCCAGCGGCGGACGGCGCGGAGCAGGGGGAGGAAGGGGTCCGCCTCCCGCTGGGGCCCCCAAGGCGCGCCGTACCTTGAGCGGCGTTGGGTCTCGGGGCGGCGGGGCTCCAGAGGTGGCGGCGGGTCCGGGCGTCCGGGCGGGTCCGTTGGGTCTGGCCGGGCCGGGGCGCTCAGCACATGACGGGGCCTCAGGACCACGGGGAGGAAGCGAGGCGGCTGGGCTCCCTCGACGTGTCCGCGGCCCCGAGCTGCCGCCCGCCATTTATGCGGTGCGTCCCGGGGCCGTGCGCCGCGTCACCGGGCTCAGGGCCCGCCTCCCTCGCCCCCGCGGAGCCCCGAGCCCCGAGGCGGGCGGGAGTGACCGTGGCGCAGAGGTCCTGCCCACCGGTGGAGGTGCGGGGGCGGTGGAGAGACCCCCAAACCCCGCGGGGGAGCCCCCGTCACCCCTGCAGAGAGTTCTCGTCACCCCTGCAGATAGCCCCCCACCACCCTGCAGAAAGCCCCCGTCACCCCACAGAACCCCCGTCACCCCTGTAGAGAATTTTCATCACCCATGCAGATAGCCCCCCCATCACCCTGCAGAGAGCCCCTATCACCCTGCAGATAGCCTCCATCGCGCCATGGGAGAGGCCCCATACACTGAATAGGGAGCCCCCATCAGCCCACACAGGGAAACCCCGGAAGCTGTGGGGGAGAGCTCTCAACATCCTACGGCCCACGTCATTGCTGCGCCAGTGAGCCCCACGCCCATCACCCCCAACCCAGGTCCTAGCGGGGGAGAGAGGCCCCCACCTACACACTGCATTCTCTTGCTGCAAAAGCTGGGACAGGGTCCTCCCCTGCCACATCCCCCTGGAGGATGAGCCCTCAGTCCAAACTGGTCCAGTGGGGTGGTCCTGGGGCAGGGGTGAGGTGGGGTGGAGTATGGAGCAGGTTCCCCCTCCCCTTACACTTGCGCCCTGGCTGGAGTGTGGGTTCAGCCTGGGAAGCCATTCGTGGCGGGGAAGGCAGGAGGCCCAGCTTCACTGCCGCCAGTGCCCAGTGGCCTTTGGGTGCCCAGACCCCTGTCCTATTTTGCTAAAAAGGGGCAAACCAGCCAGGGCCGTTGGACTATCGCCCGAGGGCTGAATGACTTCCAGCCTGGGAGCTGTGGGTCCCCCCCCCCCCCGCAACATCCCACAGGCACTGCTGTCTCAGAAAGGGTCCCTGGCGATGTTCCCCGTGGCTCCCTGGTCCGGGACCCAGAGCTGTTTTGAGCAGGGTCAGATAGTGGTGGAGCCCTTGGGGGTCTGGGGAACCCAGAGTGAGACAAGCCCCAGCTCCTAGAGGCAGCCAAGGGGTGGGCAGGCGGGCAGAGCAGCAGGAAAAGGCTGTCCTGTGGCAGGTGGCAAAGAGATCACGCAGGAGCGAGGACCTCCTTGGCATACTCCGTGAATCCTTCTTTAGTTTGGGCCGGGCCCAGACTGTTCTTTCCCTGCTCACAGACATCAAGGGACATACATATGAGAACGGCATCTCCAGGCTTCCAAGGAAGGCTGAGGACATGGCTGAAAATCGGCTGGAGCCCCTCCTACCACCTGGCTGGACATCACTGACCACTGAAGTCCTCGGCAGTGGCCGGCCCAGGCGGCCCCCGCCTGTAGGAGCCTGGAGGCCCCAGTTACTTACCAGGAGGCCGCAACCCTCTCACCACCCACCAAGCTGGACATTAGGTTGGTTGACGTCACTGGGGACCCTGGAATGAACAAGACACAGGACAGATGATCATGATGATGCCACCCGGCAGGTGTCCTACTTATAGTCTTATGAACCTTCCTACACACAGCGGGAGAGCCGTTTGCCTCTGCTGGACCGGGAAGGATGCAGGGGCGCTGGAGGACTGCGGTCAAGGCCAGTTGGCTGGGAAGGAAGGAGCAGGGCCCTAACCTGAAGTGCTGAGCGCCTGCCCTGGTTTACTGGAGGGCGAGGAGGGGTGCTGTCTGGGAGACCCGAGTTGGACAGACTCCTGGCTGTGATGGGGGTCATGGGGGGGGTGTCTCAAGGGCACACTTGACTTCCTGTCACTCCTATTTTGGCAGACCGGGGTGGGAGGAGAGTAAGGGGCAGGAGGCCTGACCGGGGGAGGGGAGGGGGGATGGGGCTGTCGCCCTGGCCGCTTTGGTCAGTGGGGGCAGAGGGACAGCCGAACGGCTTTCTGTGACACCCTCGTGCGCCCTGTGCGCTCGGATGTAGAGGGCTTTGGGGGTGTGCAGGCACCAGGCCACAGGTGTCCCCGGCTACCTGAGAAATGCCACCACCTTCTGACAACTGCTGGAGAGATTGCTTTTATTCTGGAATGCTCGCTTTGCTCCCAAGAAGAAGCGCATCCCAGCGCATGGTACATCGTGGCCAATTCCCGCGTGTTCCGTCGACGAGAGCGTGAGGACCCTTCTGCTCTCAATTTGCTTTGTCTGTCTGAAGAAGCCGAAATCGTAAACCAAAGTCCTTGGGACTAATTAAGAAATAGACTCCAAGCTCATCATCCCTCACATGGCTGGCCAGTGAGGCCTGTTTGGTTCAGCTTCCCGCTGCTGTCATTGGGTTGGTGTATTCTTTGTTCCTTTTTTTTTTTTTTTACTTTAAAAGAAATTTACAGTAGTTTTTCTGATAAGAAGGTCTTTATTAAAAAGACATTTTGCCTTTAAAGCATCACTCTCGCAAATGTATAGAGTGAGCAGGTAGAGAGACTCACCTCTCTGCAGCATGAGACTCTCATATGTCTGCCCAGATCCTAAAGAAAACGTGGCCGCAGGCGGGTTGGGGGCCAGAACGCCCCGGCCAGGGAGCCAGCACTGAGGTCGCAAAGTGGGGAGAAGGCAGCCCTGCAGGCAAGTGGGACGGTCATGTCACCCTTGTGAAGCGATGTGCTGGGGGGGGGGGCGGCGTCAGACTGTTTATCCACATAAGAGCCCCCAGACCTTCCTGGAGGCAGAAGCCTGGGGCTGCAGGGCCACGGGGGCAGCCCGTGTAGGCGGCGGGGATGCTGGGCCCCAACCCAAGGGGGCATTGACCCTATAATTGATTGAGAACATGAACATTCAAAAACAAACAAAATCTGTCCTTTGGCCACTTTTTCCAGATATCTTGGAAAACTCCTAAGCGAACGTAAGCAATCTTCACAAACGTTGGCTAGTTTGGAGACATGAACTCAGAACAAATGTGCTTCCTCAAAGTTTATCAGGACTTTCACCAGACGGCCCTTGGGAGGACACCCCCCCCCCATCGCTGCTCCTCCCTTATCCCCGCGCGAGGGGATTCTGCCCGCATCCTGGCAAGGGGCCGGCGACCCTGGCCCGGGAGACCTAGGTGCATCCGGGAAGGCTGCCGGCGGAGCAAGGCCGCAGCATGAAGACGCTGTGACCTCCCGAGGCCGGCAGGTGCGCTCAGACAGAGACAGCACCCCTGGGAGGACAGGCGCCTGCTTGCCGGCACAGGCCGTGCTGGAACCCACAGCCAGCATTGTAATGGGCTCCGTGTGCTCCGCAGTGACCCAATGGGAGTCATTGTCAACCTGTCATCTTGAAGACGGCTCAGTGTGTGGCAGGCAAAATGGATCGCCATTAGAGTAATGGAAATCAAGCAGAAAGCATAATTTTACCCCCACATTGTGAGCTGGCTCATCTTCCCCCAGAAGCCCTGTTCACCACCACCCCCAAAAACCAACCCAAGTCTGACAAGAGTAAGGGTCCGGGAAAACCTCGACCGTGGCCCTCAACGGAGCTCAGCACGCACCGCCAGGAAGGGAAGCTGCGTGCCCTGGGGGCCCGGCCTGCCCCCCATGGAGATCACAGTCCAGTGGAGACCCATACACAAAACAGTCATACACATGACCACCTTGTTATCATGAGAAGAAGGAGCCTGACCTGACAGGTGAGCAGGATTGGCCAGGTGGGGCCCAGCCCATTCCAGGTGCAGAAGGTCCCAGGGGTTGGCCCGCATTCAGGTCCTTTTCCCTTGCTCCTTCCTGCTGCCTGGAATGTGGATGCGAGGGCTAGAGTGGAGCAGCCATTCTGGGCCACGAGGTGATGACTTTGAATGGCAGCGAGACTGGAGGAGCACAGGCCCTGGGGACACCACCCTTCAGGCCCATTTCACAACAGGGAGAAGTGAACTTCTCTCCTATTAAGAAAGGAACTTCTCTCCTGTTACTTGGGGGTTTTCTATTATAGGCAGCTAGAATGACTCCTAACTAATTCAGTGTCTTACACGAAGCAGTCAACAGATGTTTGATGAATGAAGCAATGAATGCAAACAAACGAAGGGATGTGCCACCTCCAGTGCTGGTAGGGAGCGAACAGTGGTGAGGGGAGCTCTTGGAAAGGATAGGCTTGGAAAACAAGATGACAAAGGGACACAGGGACACCACCTACCGATCCCACCACCACCTCACCACTTCCCTGCACATCCTGCCGTCCAGCTGTGACGGACGCAGTGACGTGGTCTCTTGTCATGGGTGGTGCTGGTGCCCCACAGAAAGCAGGTTTCTGTGGCCGCAGGGAGGAGACCAGGGGTTAGTGATTAGCAGGCTCTGCCTTGAGCGGGTCCAAGACAGATGTTTGCATGATTGAGTATATTTGTAAAATTTGAAATGAGCTAAGAGCACAGTTAGTCCAGAACTTTCCACATCACCTTCCCCGTGCTGTGGCTGTGCTGACACAAAGTGGTGCTGGGGAGGCTGACAGCACTTTCAGATTCTCTCAGGGCAAGCTGGATCGGGGATGCATTTCTTTGGGGTTCGGTGGGGTGGCTCTGTCGGGTTCATGGTGAGGACATTACAGTGTGTGCACTTGGGGTGCTAGGGGGGTCCTGGTGCAGGAATGGCTTCCAGGAACACCCCTGCCCACAGGGCCCCCTCCACTGGCATCGAGCCAGGTGGCCGAGTGTGCCCTACAGACTTGCTGGTGCAGCTCTGAAAGCTGCCCTCTCCCCAGGGGCACGGGGTTGAGCCGAGCCTGGGGGTGCTGACAGAATGCAGACTGCAGCTTTGAAGGATCAGTTCACACCCTCCATGGGGGCCTTGGGGGCCATCAGACCTCCACTAAGTCCACAACCACACACCGACCGCATCCCACACTCAATGACGCCAGAGGCAGCTGTCATGC